GCTGCAATGCTTGGTAAGAAATGTACGCATTATCCTGCCCATGTAATTGTAACCCCTCTGTACAGTATGTTCACAAATAAAATAAAATTAAATTTAAAAAAAAGGGCCATAAGTGGAATTGTGGCTCAAGTGGAGCTGTGGCTCAAATGATAGAGCAAGGACCAGCCTTGAGAAAAAAAATAAAAACACTTCTGAGTTAAAAAAACACAATAGTGACGACTCAGGCACTTTCTTGTTACTTGGTTTTGTCCAAATGGTTTTATACCATAGTTAAGAGTTCTTCCTTCCCTTCCTAGCTTCATAAGCATCTATTGCCTGTCTCTCCACGAAGCCCAGCAGAGGCACCTCGTCCTTTATTACAGGAGTCTGGTCTTCCATCTGTGAAATAAAGGATCATGCTGGGTCTCTAAGGGGGCCCTTGGAGTCTAGTGTTCTGCCTTCTCATCTTCGATTTTCATTTTAAAAGGCAGTGCTAATGACTTAGTAATTGGATGTTTTTGTTTGTTTGTTTCTTAATGGAGTGTGAAGTGCTCTGACAGTAAATCAACAAAATATCTGTAGTGAGAGGTCCTGTATATTCCGTGACTTACTGTGCCTTGCACACAGCCTTGCACACATTAATGACCCAATAAATATTTGTTGAACAAATGCCACTGCTGGGAGCTTTACTGAAGCCAAAGATGCCATTGGCTCAAATTCATCTCGGGTTTTTTTCTAAGTGACCTTGGGCCACTCAATCTCTCTCTTAAAAGCACTTTTATCTCCTAAGCAAGCTAGAAAGAACATTGCTAATTACATGTCCACAATATCAATTTAACCCCAGTGTACTGTGGTTAAATTTGATTTCTGGATCTAAGTTATGCTTTTAAATTTGCTCTAGAATCATAAAACCTTACTTGAAAAAGGGATTGTTAGGCCATTTAATACAACCTTAACCGCATTTATAAAACCTTTCTTTATTACACACAACTAGCAGCTATTCAGACTAAGGGCCTCAAGAGATGAGAATCTTAAAACATGAGACAATTGTCTTATCCACAACATCTCAATATATTGATCAAAGTTCTACAGAATACCACTTAAGAAAGAACTCCCTTTTGTTTATCTTAGACCAGGAGTTTTCGTTTTTTGTTTTCTAGTTTGGTTATATCTCAAATATTTTTATCAGGGTCTTATTCAAGATGAGCATCTATATTCAAGATTAACATCCATTTGATCTTTCAGTAAATAGTTTCTGAATGTCAAGAGGTTCAATATTAGGAACCAACAGTGAATATAATGTGGTCCATACATATATGCAGATTTTCATGAGCTACTTCTAAAATCCCAAACTGTAACAGGTTTTTTTTCCCAGAAATTCCATCAAAGCCCTCAGAATATCACATTTGTTATGTTTTAAATAATCTTCTCATAAATACATTCTGAATCCTAGGATTCACAAAGCTCTTCTATTTATACAGCTAACATGACAAAATGTCTTTGGGGAGATTAGTTTTATATGTTGATACCAAACTCATTAACATGTCATTTATAGAACCCATATTCTTCCATCACACACTGTTTCCTTAATTGCAGGAAACAGTACAACTAATATAGTTCCAGGACACAATTACTTCTATTATCATATAGGACTTGGCTTAAAATTAATGATTTGTGATTATTGTTATGGCATAGAGGCATTTTTTCGCTTCTATCAAGTATAATCGGCCATTACTTTGTTTTATTTGGTATTTTGAAGAATGTTGGTCCTAATTCTGTCATTATTCCTAAAACAAAATCTATTTCTAAGAGCTGAATTTAAATTTTAATGATAACGTCAGTAATTTTGTTACAAGTAACAGTGCATTCAATCACATCAGTTAATTTAATCTTCAAGTTTAGAGGGAACTGGCTTTAGGTATGACATTTTCTCTCTCAAATAACTTTACCACAACAGTGTGACTATCCCTTTTTTCCTCTCTGCCTTTCCTGTTGTTGTTGTGTATGTGGTCGTAAGGAAGCAAACCCAGGGCCTCAT